AAGTTTTCCATTTGCTAAGACAACAGCTTGAGACAAAAAACAAACAAAAATTGCAAGGTGTATTTATTCAGGTAGCTCCTTCAAGAAGGCTGATGTAGTGAAATAAAAGGCCTTTTCCAGCAGCACACTTGGCATAACATAGTTGCATAGATTGTTTGTGTATATGTGTGTTGATGGCAACTTTAAAGCAAATCTGCCAACAGAAAGAACAAGCCTCGCATAGCCAGATTTTGCATCTGCCTTTCTCTGCTTTTCAATATATGGTTCTCCCGAGACCAGAGAGGTCTGAATTGCGGGTCTGCCTTATACATGAGCCTTTTGATTCAATCCGGCACATGCAAAGCTATGTTTTGAGTATGCAGACATGCATAAATGTATGCCCAGACTGAGTGCAGAAGTAACCAGCCTGGGAGTTTTTTCTTTTTTTCCCTTTCCCTTTTCTTTCCCTTTCACATTTCTTCTTTTCCTTCTACTTTTATTTGCTTTACTAAGAATTTCCCAACTGTCAGAGCAGCACAGCAATGGAACCTATTACCTGGGGAAATTGCAGGCTCTCCCACACTGGAGACATTCAGAAAGCATCTGGACAGTCACTTAAGTGGGATGGTGTCACTTAAGTGCCTGCAGTAGCAGGGGGTTGAACCCAATGGCCTTCTGGCCCCTTCTAACTCTGCTATTCTATGAAATAAAGCAAGTTTAGGCACAAAAAGGGTTCTTTAAAAATAGCATTGAGATCATTAAAAGGTGAATTTGATTAAACTGAAAGATTCCTCCCTTTGGATCGATCCCCCATCCTGCCATTGCTTTGGGGGTTTTGGAAAGATACTGTCAACTGACATATTTTTATCTTATTTTACTGTTGTTATTTGTGAAGCGTCCCGAGACGTTAGTGATGGGATGGTATACACAAGTTTTAAATAAATAGGTAGAGTGGTGCAGCTGGACTGGATCATGGGGACAAAATTCACAGCTACGCAGCCCCAAATCCCCACTTAGAGGGCAGCGGACAAAGGAAGCAATAGATAGAAATCCATTTCTCCCCCGTGGCCATGATGGTACTTTGATTTAGTCCAGGCGGAACGCATGCATCATTTCTTCTTTTTGGTCAGGGTTTGCCAACCATTTTTCTTGTTGTTCTAACACAGGAATGTTGAAGGAGTTGAAAGCAGGGAAGGACACTTGGATGTGGGGCGGGGCGGGGGAACAGAATGCTAGCTGCATTCTGCCTACACAAGTTGTTCTAGCTGTAGTAATGCATGTCCCTCACCCAGCTGCACCTCTATCAAGCAGCCTGCAGCCAGCAGGGGTGAGGATTTTCTGGAAAAAGCAGAATGGAGCATTTTCTGGAAAATGTTCAACACTCTAAATAATGAGTTAGTTCTACTACCCCTTTGTAGTAGCTTCCTGGATGCTTCCCCATCCTTGCATTGTTAGCATGCTCCTGTTCCTAATACTGACATTGACCAGCTGTCTTTCTTGCATCACGTCAGGGTTTTCGCCGTAGTAAAGTCACGTGCTCGTCTTCTTGTGTTTTGACATAATGGCTTAGCTCAAGGTAGCCACAAGCGCTGGGTGACTAGCGAATCTTACGCAAACACTTCTCTCTTCCTGAGCTGAAGAGGAGAAATGCAGCACTTATCAAGGATGGTGAAGCAAGCAGTAATCACAGCCTTTGTTTCTGTTTTCCTTCAATTTGTTACTAAGGCATCATAGCTGCAGAGGGCAAGTGCAGCGTGCATAAGCTTGGACCAGACCCAGCCTGGAACCAGCAGACAGGAAGGGGGCTCCAGATGCTATTTTCCATTCCCCCGGGGCAGCCGAGCACTAGGATTTGTCTTTGCTTCCCTTGGGAAAACACTGTATGCATGTCCATATATATATTTACCCATCTAACACGATTGACTTCTGTATGGCAGCCCAGATGGTGTTTATGGATAAATGCAGATGTTTATGGCGAGGAAAATTTTCCATGGGAAAATATCCCATCGGAACACTTTGTGGGGCAGTTTTCACGCCACATCACTGCTTGAGAGAACTGATGCTTGGCCTGAGAACACCCATCAGCCTCTGACAGACAGGTCTGTTCCAGGACACCAGAGAAGAGTGGGCCGCAGCAGTCGCACGAACTGCCTCTGTTTGTTTATTCCTCATATTTATATCCAGTGTTTTCTGCTGGAAGGAGCATGAGGTTCCCTACAGGATACTCCTCCATTTTAGACCCATGGCAGTCCAGTGAGGGATATCCAGCAGCAACCCCATGCCTGGCCCCAGGTCACCCAGCAGTCTTCACGTCCGCACAGGGACGAGAACTCCTGAGCCCCAGCCCAGCTTTCTAACCCTACGCCACACAGGCGCTCTGGACAAACATCTGCAGATAGTCTACACTAAGCTGACACTCCTCAATCCCAAGTATGAGTCATGCAGCATTCGTCTCCCATCTACATGTGCTGCTGTATCCTCCTTCAGTTGTTTTCCTGTGCCAGATTTTCAGTTGTAAGGCCATCAGGGCGGGGACCTGCTTCCTACTTTGGAGACACCATGGGCATGGATGGTACTTTGTACCATCCTCCCTCCCTCTTCCTCTGCCATTTGCATACTTAAAGACCCCTGGTGTTCCTTTCTGCCCTGACTCTTGGCAAGGAAATTCTGTCTGGCATGGGTTGAGGTAGGGAAATCTGCAAACTTTGCAGGAAAGGCTTGAGGCCAGAAAGACCCAACAAAGCAGGTTTCTGTCTTTATGCAAATGGAATCTGCACTTCTGATAATGAAATATCCCCTCCCTGGTCCGTGGAGCTACAGGGAATCTTAACATCATGGCATTCTCCTCTTTCATCATGACATACCCATTGGAAGCTGGAACAGGGCTCCTCAAAACCGAGCACCTGACCATTGGAAATAATCTGTGAGGCTGACAATGTTAGAATATGTTAAATTCCTCATGCGGTTCCCTGCGCGTCCACGGCTGCATATTGCAATGGCTTTGATGTCAGGTTTAAGCTCCGTTGTATAGTGCTGTGGCCAAGCAGCCCATCTTCAAAAGCAGCCGTGGTGGTGAACCAGCCAGAGCTGGGAAAAAGTCTCTCTCAGCCGCCGGGGTCCTTTGGGACTCCAGCTACAAGGATCTAGGAGTCCTCCTGGACAACAGACCTGGTTTTTCAGGGGAGTGTGATCCCATGCAGGAGAGGCGGAGAGCCTGTCTTGCGGCCTCGGGAATTTCTCATCCACAGGAGCTGCCTTCTTGCCCAAACAATTCTGCTCTGTTACCTTGGCTTGTCACCTCATCTGCTCTGAGGAGGGATATAAATGAAAGGGAAACATGTTATTTCCTAACGGCAGACAGAACACTCAGTTCAGTGAGGATATTCCAGAGTAAATGGCTGGAAAACTTGTAGCCTTCCCTGCTCCTTCTCCAACAGTTTTTTTTTTTTCTGGCTATTGCTCCAAATGGCATCATCACCAGCACCATAAATAAGGGGAAAAAAATATAAAACAGCATGTGAATTAAAAAGGAATACTGATTTTAAAAGAAATGTGTAAAATAAAACACAGACACCTAGGATCTTAATGAAAAGAAGCCAAGGAAGCATCAAAGAGAAAATGATTAAATGGATAAATGACGTTTATCAAACCAAAGAGTTCTTTTCCATAGCTAGTATTCGCTACTACTTTCCAAGATTTAGGCGTGCACGTTCTTTCTTTCTAACTTCCTAATACTTTCTTAAGGGCATTTCCCTTTCTGAAAAATTGCAGAATTTAGAGCGGGGATTTGCCCGCATGTCAGGCTGAAGCTGAGTCTTTGCTTTTGGCCTGCCTTCTGCATGCTAGGCTTTGTGGTTAGAAACGAGGCAACGCAAGCTGCATTATTTCAGAGGCTTCTGGCGCGCAGTATTGCCTGCCGTTCACTATTCAAATTTGAACGAGAAGCGGAAGGCCCCGGGCTCCCCGAGAAGGGCTGCTTCTGTCAGAATTCGCTGTTGCTTTACATACTGGGTCAGATGTTAGATCCTGTGTTACAACAGGAAACAAACAGCTGGAATGTCTGCTTTCTTTCCATGCTGCAGATGTTTTGTCTCCTTTCACTATACCCGGGGGACGTCGAACTCTTCTGCGTGTGTTGGCTTTATGTGCTTAATTCCCATGTGACTTGCCTTCCCACTCCGAGGGCAAAGGGTCAGCTTTGCGTCCTTGGAGCAGTTTTACTTGTCCGAGTGAGATCTTCAAGGTTCTCTTTCACTGAAGCTGTTCCTCTGCAGTCTTCCCCAACTAAATGTGTTACAGCCAGGCGTTGTAGTTCAAGATAACTGGAGGGGGCCAGCTACAGGACGGTGGGACACTTGATATAATGAGAATATATCAAAGTATATATCAAATGTAAATATCAGCCAAGAATACCATCTAGACCAATGTTGCCTCCCAGGTAGGATATCAAGGAGAGGGCTTTTACTTCAATGGACCTTTCTAACTGGTGTGATCAGGAGCCAAATCTGCACCCTTTTACGTGCAAAGCATTTTCTGTGGTCCCTTCCAGGACCAGCATTGTCTTTTTCTCATGTTCTTAGAAGCCTCTGGTTCCGTTGTGTGGTAGAGGCCTTGCAGAGTCCCAGATAAACATACACAGCTGAAGGGGTGGGTCTGTGCAGAAAAGGCTCAATTTTGGGCAGCTTCTCTCAAATCCTACGCAGCAAAAATCAGCAGGCAGCAATCTGGGTCGCAACTGGAGTGGGCGGGTGGAGCAATACTGCTTGGAAGATAGGATAAATCAGTTGGATTTGATCCCGATTAGCCATCGTTAGGGTAAACCCATTGGCGTCAATGGAACTTTAGTAGGTCATGACTAACTTAAGCCCCATTGATTTAAGTGAGCCTATTCAAAGTATGGCTGAACCTGGATCTAGCCCGTTTTCTATAATCCGGAATTCCTTTGTGAATAGGGAGTCTATTTTCTTTGAATGGAACAATACCTAATAGAATATCTCTTTCCCTGCTCCTGTTTTCTTCAGGAGAAAGACCATGAGGCAAGCGACATCCAGGGAGGATCACTGGAATGTACTTCTTAAGGAGACCAGGGCTTCCTGACTTTCAATGTGTGGAGTCCACTTAACTGGGCCTTGGGAAGCGTGGAGCTGGAATGGGAAACCACAGTAACCACACCTGTGTGACAGATGACTCCTTCAAGTACAACCTCTATGGAGCAGTCTATAGCATAGTGTTCATCCTTGGCCTGATCACCAACTGCGCCTCTCTGTTTGTCTTCTGCTTCCGCATCAAAATGAGGAGCGAGACGACCATTTTCATGACAAACCTGGCTGTCTCTGACTTGCTCTTTGTCTTCACTCTTCCTTTCAAGATCTTCTACAACTTCAACCGGCACTGGCCATTTGGGGACCCCTTATGCAAGATTTCGGGCACGGCCTTCTTGACCAACATCTATGGGAGCATGCTGTTCCTGACCTGCATCAGCGTCGACCGGTTCCTCGCCATCGTTTACCCATTTCGATCCCGCACTGTTCGGACGAGAAGGAATGCAGCCATTGTGTGTGCTGGAGTGTGGATTTTGGTCCTCAGTGGGGGGATCTCAGCCTCTTTGTTTTCCACCACCAACATCACCAACACAAGCACGACATGTTTCGAAGGCTTTTCCAAAAGCATATGGAAGACCTACTTATCTAAGATTACAATATTTATTGAAGTGGTGGGCTTCATTATTCCTCTCATGCTCAACCTGACCTGCTCGTCGCTGGTGCTCAGGACTCTCCGAAAGCCCGCCACTCTCTCCCAGATCGGCACAAACAAGGAGAAGGTGCTGAAGATGATTGTTGTCCATGTGGCCATCTTTGTGGTGTGCTTCGTACCCTACAACTCCATTCTTTTCCTGTACGCCCTTGTGCGTTCTCAGGCCATTGCAAACTGTTCCTTGGAGAAGTTTGCAAGAACCTTCTACCCAATCACACTGTGCATTGCTACCCTCAACTGTTGCTTTGATCCGTTCATCTACTATTTCACCTCAGAATCCTTCCAGAAATCTTTCTACATAAACCCCCACCTCAAAAACGATTCCCTTTTCAAGACTGAAACCCCTCTAACCAAGGTGCCCCTGCCAGCGATAGAGGAGGAGATGAGTGACCAGGCCATTACAAATGGGACAGATCTCACGTCAGAATCACACTTCTGATTCTGAAATTCCCTGCACCTTTGAAGGCTTGGAATTGAACTGCAAGGAATTCCATGCAACCTTCTGCCTGAAAGGTTTGGAACTATGAAAACTGAGAGTCATGCAAGAAATGTGCGTTTGTGTGCACATGTGTGCATGCATACAAACAGGCAGTAAAATCTCTCCCTGCCCTCTAAACCAGTTGTCATAGATTAACTCAAGTCTCACTGCCCATATGTATGTTTTGCTTTTCAAGCAATGAACAAATAAAATATTTCACCTTGTCTTGATGTTTACTACAGCTGATTATTTGGGGTTCCTACATATTTTCTTACATTTGACATATTGCAGTGTCAAATGCTCCAGCCTGTCTCCTGACTTGCTATCTCACTCACCAGTGAGCTTAGAGTGGAGTGTGCATTTCCCCTCTCCCAATTTTAGCCTCCGGAAGACCCTGCCTTGAATCTTGGCTAATCTCCAAGACAAGAGGGGGCTGACCTATGCACTTCCCCTGTAGCATTCCCCCTTGTGAGAGAAGGTATTTCTTCTCTCGAGCCACCTTAGAGGAAGTGATCAATGCTCAGCATCAGAATGCATTTGGAAGAGGTCTCTAACAGGGATGTGCCACCATCCTTTTTAAATGTCTGAGCTGGCTGTTATTGTTATTGTTGTGCTTTCCCTTTGAGTCTCTATTTCTGGTTCTGAATTCAAAAGGACAATTAGCAGACAACAATGAACGAATGAATGGATATTTCCATTGCATTGCTGGCTGGCTGAACTTCCTCTAACATTTGCATGCAAACTCCCCATGATATTAATCCTGTTAGCCTGAAGTTGTGGCAGGGAATACAGATATTTTATTTCTGGATTAATTTATTCCTTCATTATGCACCTATTTAATACATTTGTAGCCCACTCTTCAGCCTGAAAGATTCCCAGAGCAACGGTCAGATCTGTAAATTAGAAGAAAATCCTTGCCTTTGGGCTCATGGTCTACAAAAAGGCATGGCTAAGAAAGAAAATGGGACAGAGAGAAAAAATGGGTAAGAAGAAATTTCTTAATGTGATATAGTTGTTGTAATGTCCAGCTAGGATGCTGTGACACAGCCAAGCATTGTTGGTTTGCTCTCAGGGCCAGCTGGAATGGAAATTGCTTGGAAGAAGAGGAGCCCAAAACAGAAAAAAGCTGGGCACAGCTGAGCAGGTAGAAAGGTCTTGCTTCCTCTCAGCCTTGTTGGCAACCTGATGGGTTGGCTGCTGCATGATGGGATGTCCAGAGGCTCTCCGGACTGCTGATGAGGGCCCACTGCTGGGTACCGGGGTCTTTTAAATAAATTATAATCTGGGCCATTGGAAAAGAAGCTTCTAAGTCTTGTTCCTTCTCCAAGGAGTTCAGGCTCTGCTTGGCTTTCAGCCTCACAGCAAACCAGAAAGAAAGGTTAGGCTGGGAGAGATCAGTGGCCACAGTGGCTTAAAACAGTGCACTGTTGAGCATTCAAGCCATGGTGGGCAGTTGCTGAGGCTTATCATGTTGCAAGGGTTAAACAACCCTCACAGAACCCTATGACAGGCCATTGATGGAACCGCCATGACCACCATCACCTGCCATGGCATATTAGAGCCATGATGGATTGTGCTACATGCCAGCAGCTCTTCTGAATACTCAGTCCTTGGCCGGAGTGGTCACGGCTGGCTGTGTGGTCTAAACGAGGCTTGTTGAAGGGGGAAGCAACCTTGAATAACCCATGATCGCCTGTAGGGTTGTTTCAGGCCATTGCCCCCTTCCACCCAGCCCTGCTGCCCAGGTTTAGATAACATTGCAAACCATGGGTTAAATCACTGGAATTCGGTAAACTCAGTTGTCCAGAAGCTGGAATCCATGAATGAATCTGCCATATGTAACCAGTGTTCGGCCAGGACCAGCGTCAAAAGTAGGCTTTGGAGCCCACTTGTGAGAGTTGCTCCCCCGCTTCCCCACGGCCACCTCCCTCCTGCTGAGGTCCAGGCAACAGAACTGGCGAGAAAAGGAAGCGGGTGCCAGTGCAGACCCACCTGGTCCAGCAAGCAATTGGAAGAGGGCGAGGGGAAAGTGGGGTTTGTGGCAATGGTGGTGGGAAGGGGATCGCACTAAGGAAGGGGTCCATTGTGTCCCTTGCCCGGGGGTCCGCAGAAACCCTTGGTGTCCTCCGTACTGCCTCTCGCTCGGCACTTGACATGCACTGGCGTGGCTCTCCACAGGTGCAGGCAGGAGGTTTTGCTGCCCGTCCTGGCGATGCTGGGGGCACGGGGAAGGGAGCCTGGGACCCAGCCTGCAACAAGGCTGCATGCAAAGAGGCTCGTGTGCCACTGAGTCAGGCTGCTTCCCTTTGCCCCCGTAACTTCTCAGCCGGTTTCCCAGTGAGCGGTTTTCTTCTGCAGCAAGGGGCTTTGTCTTAAAATCAAGCAAAGCCTGCACGGCAATTTCTGATTTTTCAAACTGCCATTTGTTCAGGATTGGGGGAAGGGGTGGGGGAGAAACAAAAAAGCCACGCCAGCAACTGTGTGCGCAGATCTCCCTGCTAGTCGGCCTCTCCCTCGCCACCCCCAGCCCTCCTTTCATGCAGATGTGATTCTTGAGTTACATGCCAGGGCCTGCGATGTCTGATGTCTTCTGATGCCAAAGCCTCCAGAAGCAGTGCTCCAAATGTAAAGAAAAGCAGAGCGCCTAGTAGGGCAAAGTTGAAAGAGACGGAGAAAAGGAGGGGGTTGTTCCACACGACGCCAGAGCTTTTTGTGTTGCTCTTGCAGAGTGCTTGACAAGATGGACTTTCTTGGATCAAGGGTATTTCTTGCAAGCCCGCAGGACAAACCACAGTCTAGTCTGCTTCATGGAAACGTGAAAATGAAAAGGGAAAACGGCACAGCGCCTGGATTGTGCCCTGGGGGGCCCATATAGAGCAACCCTCTTCTGAATGCGGCGCTGACGCTCTTTTTCCCTCTGGCCAAGTTGCTGCTGAGTCTTGCAGCATTTCTGTTTGCTGTTTTCACAGCAGCCCAGGAGCTGCGGTCAGTTTTCTCACATCCCATGCACAGCCATCGTGGTCTGCCAAAAGCGTAGCTGAAAAGATTCATTATTTGTCATTTAGCACCTTTAATACATTTACCTAGGGGTCGGTCCCTGGATCTAAGAGTTACAAATGGTGAGGCGTGGGCTTAACTTTTTTTTGTTTAGTTAACTTATAATGAAATCAGGAAGCATGAGTGTACACCTTGATGTGTTTGCACTCTCTGTGTGTGTACAAATAGCCAATTCATCGCAAGAGGAAAATGTATTTGTCCCCAACCACCCTGTATGGGGCTATGCCTAGGAGGAACTCGTGGAAAAAATGGATTTGCAGTTTATGTACTTAACGGGGTTCCCCCGCTTTTCCTAACAAAGGATTATTGTTAGCAAAATGAACAAAAATAGAAATGTTAGTTTAAAGACACAAACCACAAAAAGATGGGCATGCCTTTATATAGCTCTACTTTGAGAGGGGTGGGATGTTGGAACAGTCAGGCTCGAAGTCCTGTGATCCCAGAAGAACTTTGAATTCATCCGTTTCTGTAAGGAAGAAGGAATTTTGGATTAGACAACCTTCAGATCTCTTTCAACTCGGCAGGCCAGTCCTGGAGTGGGCAATGGCAAGTTAAGCAAAGGAAAGGCAGACTAGAATCATACAGTGTGGATTGCCAAACCCGGTCTGGATGCTGGATATGAAGCACTGCTCTCCTCCTGGGCAATAAAGTCAGACCGGCCTACCCTACAACACCGTTGCGGGGATCAAAAGGAGACCGATCTGTGATGACCACCTTGAGCTCCATGGAGGAAGGGTGGGATGAAATGTGGCAACCTACACAATAATCAACGTACTAAGACCAGGTAAGTGCTTTTCTCGGGTGGGAAAATATTCCGCCCAAGGAAGATGGGATCTTTTGGATTGCAGAGAACTCTTAACTGGACAGATTAAAAAGGGGGCTGTTACACAGGATTTTGTGTTGATGCCCCAAGCAGCATTCTGTGTGCCTGGAAGGATTTTGCATACACTTTTGTCAACAAATGCTGCCATATAATTACCTAATCAAGGGTCAAAGTTCTTATTTGCTCTTGTGTTATCGAGGCAGGTTAACCAGTGGTCTCTCTCCGTTATTGTGAATGGCTGTTAAAATGACTCATTCAGTGGGAGAAGTAGAAAGGCCGTGGGCGAGTGGGCTTGAGAGACGAGGCAGCATCTCTTGAAGAGCCACCGTTGCAGCACAACAGCTGGAGTAAGCCAGGGGCCAGGAGGGGCCCTCCGGTTGTATTAGCTTTCAATTCCCATCACTCCCAGCCTTCATGGCCAGGCAGCCCCACAATACTGGAGGTCATCAGACTCAGCTGGAGAGGGCCTCTGTAAGCCTCTGGTTTTGTGTCTCATCAACGCCTTTTTATATGTAGTTATAACACTTTCGTGTGCATTATGAAACCAAAATCAGCCTGCAAAGAGCTGAAACAAAGATTTAATCTGTTTCCAGGAGCATCATCCTTTCTATTTTTACTCTAGAGTAGGAGAAGAAGCCTGTTGCAGAACTGGATTCCAGACTGGGGTGGTACTTCAAAAGGGAAAAAAAAAATCCAAACTGGGGTCACTTTTCCTACTTTGACTAAGAACGGAAGAAAGCTGTAATCTCAGTTTTGGCCTGAAGATTTCATTTCATCTTCATTACTGCATTTGTGTATTGCCTAACAGCCGAAGCTCACCACATGGTTTACCATGATTAAAACTTGATAAATGCATATCAGCATACAGTCTAAAGAACACTTTGAAACCGTCAACAAAAAAATCAAGACCTCATTAAAAACGTCATGATAGGCCACCAAATACCTCACAGGAAAAGGTCTTATCCCGAGACTCAAAAAAATAGCAATGGTAATATAGCCCCCAAAGGCTGGCTTCTTCAGGGAGAGAATTGAGGGGATACCACCAAGAAGGCCCTCTCCCTTGCTGCTACCTTTTGAGCATCCCCCAGAGGAAGTACCTGGAGATGTGCCTTGTTAGATGGTGAATTCAGGGGTTGGTAAGTTCACGCCAGGAGAGGCCTGATGATGTGGACAAGGTGCTTGGACAAGTACATCCTACCACTTGCTTACTAGACCCATGCCCATCTTGGCTACTTAAGAAAGCCAAGGACGGATTGGGACCTGGATCCTGGAGGTGGACAATGCCTCTTTAAGAGACGGCCGGGTACCTGCCCCTTTAAAGGA